TGTCTCAAATTCCTTTGTCCCGTATCTCAAGATTCTCATAGATCTATTGTAAGTATTTTCGAACAAGGGAATGGAGAATATGAGCCCGTGAAGCCATAATCCTCTCTCTTCTCTCCCACAATATATGTCCAAGGCACTGAAGGCCTTTTTCCAAGAGGGATATCAAAGCTTGAAAAGCAATATTGACAAAAGGTGAAGGAGGTAAGATGTGTATAATTTCGTTGAGGTTGTGTCAGCCTTCTCATCTCTCTCAAAGACTTTCATTCATTCTATAAAAACTCAGAGACACTTCATGAAGAAAGGATCTAACGGATTTGATGTTGCACACAAGGTGCTTGTGTGATCCTGTATTTCTGTCTTCTATGTATTGCTAACTAAGCCTGTCCTTTGATTGATGTTAAAAAGATTGTAAAAGAGAGATGTGAGCTACAGGAAAATAAAAAAAAATTGGATAAGTGTACTAAAAGATCATATGCATAAGGGTTTGTTTTTTCCCTTCTGTTTATATATATATATATTAGAGATAAAAATAACTTCAATAATAATAAAAGTAAGATACAATTAACTATAAAGAAGTGTATGCTAGAATAAAGCTGCAAAGATAACAAAGCAAAAAAAGGGTAATCTTGCTAGCAGCCTAAGTTCAAACAATTCAAGAACTTTCTAAGAGTATTGCAGGCAAGATTTTTTGCAGGCTATAACTTCTCTAGGCACTTGAAATATTTTACACAAAATCAAGTTGTTAATCGAGTCTAAAACTATCAAGAGCGAAGGATGATCAACAAAGCTCAGTTCTTGCTTTCCTCCCATCCGCAAAACAAGATTAGACAGTAAGTATGTATGTATGCAAATTAACATTATATTGATGCAATATCGGCTAGTTGAGAGCATGACAAACTGTTATGAAACTTAGGTTGAAGAGAACAAGTCCAAAAGCAAGAAATAGAGATGCTAGCCATTTAAAAAACTATCCACCTAGCATGCCATAAAAGCAACCCAAAACAACAAATTGTCAGGCTTCCAAGCACCATCTATGCACGACAGAATGCACTTTAAAAAAATGAGCTTCCCCGGCTTAATGAAGAAAGATAAAAATTACCAACATTCACAACAGAAGAGGAGTGGGCAGGGGCATAAGTCCAAGCAACAGCTTTTTTGAACATGCGGCCACATTCCTTTGCAAAAAATAAGTTGCTTGTGCACCCTTCTTTCTTTTCTTTTTTTAGATTAAAAACATAGATATGCAGATAGGCTACTCCAACATATCCGCCAGGGAGTATTGTCCCTTAGCACCTACAGCACATCTGCAGGGAACCCCACTGCACCTACGTCGGAGCCGAAATTTAGGGCCCCACGTGCTCCAAGCGCTAAAGAGTATGTTTAACCCCAACAAGGGGTTATGGAGACTCTAACCCAAGCCTTGAGCGAGAGATTTGAAGGTCTTATCTACTGAACCAATCCCCTGTTGGGGTGCACCCTTCCATATGGACCAAATAATAGCAAATAAAATCAAAAGCTATAGATTGAGGATTCACAATGGCTTAAAGGACACTGACCAACCAAGCAAATCAATCATTGAAAGATGTCAAGTTTTGTAAATCAAACAGTATAAATGTAGAACCAAAACACATAAGTCAGGACAGCTTACAATGACAGAAAAGATGCAAAAGAGTCTTCATCTTTAGAGCAAAAGAGAGCACAAGGGAGAAATAGATGGAATTCTAGCTGCTAGCAGGCTACTCAGAGCTAGGATGTGATGAACACATTTCCAAATAGAAACTTCAAAAGATTTAGCCCCCGTATAAGACCCCAAACATTGTATGATCATTGACAGTAAACTAAAAAAGAAATTTGTACCCATATTTGGTAGAATAAACATCGTGTTTTTGGTAAATGGGCAAATAATATAAGAGAATCAGGGAGATGAATTACCAGTTGGAAAGAAGTCCAATGCAGGCATTGGGTATCCCATAGGGCCTAGCAAAGCTTTTATCACAAGAAGATATGCACTTAAGTATGCTGAAAGCACGACTGATTAAAAGGTAGGAAAGTGTGCATAGAATTTTCCAAAAGGTATCAAGTATATACTTCAAAAAGAGGAGAGGCTTCCCTCCAAACAAGATGGTGTAATCCATGCCCATGGATCCACTATGTGTTCCGTTTTGATGATTCGATTCGTTTATTTTTAAAATCTGTGTAGATCATTCATAAAAAAATTAAATAGATCCAATGATTATAACCACGTAATTTTATCACATTCTCCTTTCAAAAAATAAACGTTCTTTTTTCAAAATCATACTTGTCAATTTTTTTTAAAAATAATATGATGGAATCAACTAATTGCAATAATTGAATCAAACTTTTTTGTTGTGTGGATGATCTACATATAGGGGCTTACAAGATGAACCGATTGGATCATCATATAAGAAGCACGGATATGGATAGGATGCGGACACGCGACACGGCAATTTCAAAAAAAAGGAGACACGGACACACAGTAATAAAATATGTTTTCATATTTTTTTATTTTGTATTTAGATTAATATTACATCCACAAATAATCAATATTAACAAAAATTAACTCTAACTCTATATTTTTTTTAAAAAAAATTACTTTTAAATTAACACTAACAGTTTATATCTTTTTTATGGATAATCTATCACTGTTTTTGAACTTTAAAGCGAAATATGACTAATGGAGAACCAGTCTATGATCAAGTCAATTTTAAGCCTAGGTCAAGCATATTTGCTAGTCTTCTTGATTTGTTCCAAAGACTTTTTCAAACATCATGTGTGGACTCTATCCACCATTAATTTGTTTACTTTAATTAACCACCTTCTTATATTTTTCCATCTTTCTCGCATTAACTCCGCTATATAGTCAATCCTTAAGTCCCTCCATGTCAACCCATCTTCAACTCTCTCTCTCTCTCTCTCTCCGATTGAAGGAATTTTCAAAAGCATTGAACAAAGGCTTTTCTAATACTTAAAAATGGCAAAGGGAATGAGATGTATGCACAACCTGGTTGAGGTTGCACCAGCCCGTCTTATATCTCATCAAAGGTGTTCCAGTTCACCAAATCTAGATACTATTGTCGAAGAAGGCTCTAACATGTCTTACCTTGTGCACAAGCGAGTTTTGCATCTTCTTCCTATATTTCTGTCTTTCGCATCTTATCTTTTGATAAAGAAATATGTATTACTTTCTGAAGTGACGATATAATTTTGCAACAATGCAAGCCGCCATCTATTAAAAATTTACTCTCTCTCTCGTTATGTATATATATATGTTGGTTGGAAGATTCTAGGGCATGGAACCAAGCAATCTAACCCTTGTACAGTCAACTGCATAGACCTAAGGGCTCAAGACACTGACCAGTCAACCACACAGGCCTTAAAACCAAAGTTAAAGCCCTCTCTAACACCAATTGATTTTAGGAGAGATGGTGAGACCTAGATTCAAACCAGCCCAGGTCTGAGCCCCCCTCAGTAAGGCTTGGGTGTCAGCGTGCACTTGGACTCTGGCTGCACACGCTTCGCCCAACACCTACACTCACATCCAACATGCGCTTGCGGGAAGCCCGACAGTTCAGCACTTAGGCCAAGCAACAGCTCTTAGCGCTATGTTTGGAGGGCAAACCTTGGAGTTTGAAGCTAAATTTTTACTGGGAATACGTTCAGTGAGCTACCTTCCTGGGTCTTATCCTAAGGTCGAATAGACTATCACTGTTGAGTGCTTGTAAAAAACACTCAAAGACCATGCTTGAAGAATTAGCAGCCGAGGAGCTTATAAGTTATAACCATGGAACCAAAAAATACAAGAAACTATGTTCTGCTCTCCAACATATTTGTTGTAGTAAGAAAGTAGGATGGAATCACTAGGATGATAAACTATTTTAGGGATAGAGGTTTGACAGCAAGTTCCTGAATGCACTTGGCTAGAGATAAATGGTAGGTACATGAATTCCTTGTAACTTTAATTTTTGTTCAAGAACATAAAATAAATTTAGGGAATGGCTTCCCTCCAGTCCGGACTGGAGGGTACGGTTGGGCTCGTGGGGGCCCGCCACGGATCCCGTTTCGATAATCTGAACCGTTCAATGTATAAAACTCATCGAGTACTATACGCTTGGAAAAAATCACGTTAATCGGATATCGATAGCTATGTGATCAAGTCAAATTTTTGTCATCCTCATATTTTTCGCCGTCCATTTTTTTTTCATACAAAATTGATTTGATCACATGGCTATTGATATCTGATCAACATGATTTTTTGCTAGTATATAGTACTCGATAAGTTCTACACATTGAACGGTTCGGATTATCGAAACGGGACCCGTGGTGGGCCTCCACGGGCCCAACAGTACCCTCCAGTCTGATGAAGGACTGGAGGGAAGCCATTCCCATAAATTAAGGGTAAATCAAACCAATTGTCCCTGTAGTTTCACGTAAGTTTGAATTGGTCCATGTCGGCTCAAATGCAACACATTTTCCCTTGAATTTTGCAATTTATGTCAATCAAGAACAATGAATAGCGATAGTCAAACCTTTTTGACGGAAAATGATTATGTGCACCTCACATGACCATTGCAAAACAAAAATTTTAAACGGTGACTCCAAATTCATGACCGAAGTGTTCTCATGTCATGTGATCTCCTATCCCATGTCTAAAGGCAATGCTATGCAGATTACTATTATTATCTGTGAAAAGTTTCAAATTTATGTTTGGATAAATTACATGGTGTGGTTTTTTCTCCTAATAACTTACAAAGGCCTCTTTTTTTTTTTTAATAATAGTGATTACCTTCAGAAAAACAGCTTTCTAAAATAAAATAAAATTGTTATATGGAGTTTCATTTTAGCTGATCAATCTCATCCAAAATCTCACGGATATATAAAAAAAAGATAAATTATTCTAATATGTAATCAAGAAACTTATGAACCTACCCTGCACAATCACCCAAAATAAAAATATAAAAGTTAAAAGAAAAGAAAAAATCTGATGAAAGTAGGAATTCCTTATTTAATTAAAAGCCAGAGTAGTCACTATAAACCCTTGGTGAAGCAAAGTGATGGAAGAACACTTGGTAGATCAATAAATAGTATGACAAATTTAATGTGACATCTATCATTAAAATCAACAATATATTACATGGATATTATAAATGCCAAAATTGGAGGGATCGATAGGACCTAACATTTCAGTAACATGGCCAAGCTCTTCTAGTAATACAACCATGTAGATTGGCTTAAAGCAATTCATGCTTCCTGGATTTTATGAATCTTCCACACTGGCGTCCTGCTCTTTTTGAGGAACATTGTTTCCAAGTTGTGGTCGCCTAAAAGCTGATAAAATGAAGAAATAGTGCTATAATAAGTATATTTAAATGTTTTACGTCTACATTGACGCATAGATGCATCAAAATATGCAAAGAAAAATTGGCAAAAGCAATGCCCAAATAAGGTTTGAGAAATTTTTATTTTAAATTCCAGTTGTACAGGCTTTGAATAATTTTAGAATGAATTTTAATTACATTACTACCCTTATAATAGTGTTAAAACAAAAAATTAATTACGCTACAATTTATTTTTTTAAAAAACCTTTATCTAAGCTGCTATTTTCAAAATTGACATTCAAATATCCTAATATAAATTACTGCCACACCACTTGTCTCACGACTAACAATGCATTCTCTCTCTATATATAGCGTGAGTTTTAAGTGCTAATCAATTTGCAGAGCTACACAGTCATCATCAAGTGACAATATAAGAACAACTATCACCATAATTCCCTGTCACTGACTCAAAAGAAGAACCCCGTCATACTTTCTTTCTTCATTTCTATAATTCCACATATATAACAGCAAGTGATGTAAGCACGGGAAGAGGAAAAACATACAAATTTTTGAATAAGAATGACTTACATTTCACAGATGATCCAGCAAGACAGGTCAGTCTTGATTTTGTAATAGCCTCAGACAATGGGTTTGGCTTCTCTTTGTTGGCCATACGAACATCCCAGACACGTATAACACCATCTGATGATGCCGATGCCACTAAATATGGATCACCATCAGCAGAAGCAGCATCACTCCCTGCGAGCACAACAACACCTTTAACACGGGCTGAATGTGCATCCTCAATGGAATAAGCAAGCTTCCCACTGATTGTATCCCATGCTCTAATACCCCGGTCCTCACCACCAGTAAATAGAAGTCCGTTCTGTCACAATTCAAATCTATTTTAGCAAACAAAGAGAAAGTAACAAAATATGCAAAAACAGAGTGTGGTGCAAGCTACTCGATGAAAATAAGTCAGAATTTTGACTTTACTATCAGTATTGAATGCACATAGTGGAAGTTAGGTTTAATATCAAATATTGATTGACGAATTTATCCACACAGTAATTCAATAAAAACAGAACTTTTATACAAAATTTTCATACAAAACTATACACATGATGCCTCATTTTGCACCAAAAATTTGAAAATAACAAGAGCATCGAACTGTTTTATTATCTCACAAATGCCACTACCACATCATATTGTGTGAAAATTCTATCCAAAAAAAAAATGTTTCTTTAACATTGCCCGATCCTTAAACATTATTGAAATACAATACATCAATTTGTTTCTTTGTTCCTCCTACCCTTAACTTCTATACAACTCTACCTCATTTTGTTAATGTTTAACACATTTTTCTTTCTTCTCGATTCCTTTTTACCAATGTATTTGCCATAGTAGTGAAAGTAATGATTTCTTCAAGAACAGGATGGAAAGTTAATTTCTATGTTTTAAACTTTTCAGGCTGGTGCTATTTTATCCAAGAAACTGACTTTCATTGATTTTAAGGATAAACGAACAATTTTATCCTCGTACATAATACTTGTTCAAGTGGGTGGCATACCAAATAAATTGGCACAGGCTGTACAGATGACAATAACTTAAGGTAATAGGAGAAAATGGAGGTTTCTGGGTTCAATCTGACAAAATACTACACAGGCATATCCATTTGGTCAAACAGACTCAATGAATATGCAGTTTTTCTTCTCCAAGTAGAAAAGCTTTGAGATTGTAACCTACTATCTATGAAATGCACATTGGATCGTAAATATAGCAGAATGTAACCAAATTCAAGTCACTTCAAAAAAAATTGCAGGTAAGGCAAAATTTGTACAAAAACTAAAGGCTGAAAAGTGAGTACCTATTATATCCAATTTTCATTGAATCCAATATCTAATTAAAAACTGAATAGCATCTTCAATCCTTCATCAATTTTTCCATCAAATTCAAATAAATAAATAAATAAATAAAGGTTAAAATGTTCTCCAACCATTTCATCAAATCAAGAGAGACACAAATTTTTCACCAAATCAAGGATGCACCAAATCCTTCACCAAATTTCCAGCATTCATATTTCCACTTAAAATTGATGATATTTTTAAAAAATTAAGGATTGGATGCGGTTTTCTTTCTTCAAAAATGGTTAAAATAGATTTGTTGGTTGATGAAAAAACCAAAGTCGGGAATTACAAGTACAGGAATTTTTAAGCTAAAGAAACACATTCATGCATGCATACATACATACATACATACATGAAATCACAGGAAGCTCACCGTGCCTGGAGCGGCGCAAAGAACCCTCTTTTGATTATCCATTTCAAAGACCAATTTCGCATCCTCAGACTCATGTACCGAAACTTTCTCATCCATAACCATAAAGAACTTATCTCCAGCCAAATCAAACTTCACAATCGACGCTTCCTTCCCCAACCTACAAAAAAAGCTCCTTCTCCCTCTAACCAAATTCAACATCGCCAAACAAGAGTCTCTCCCAACCGTCAATGCTAACTTCCCCGAAGGGTGCACAGAGAGGTCATTCACTCCCTTCTTATGAGCATGAACAGTCTTGAGGTGTACGAAAGGGTCGGCGTCGTAGATGCAAACGGCGCCGTCGTCGGACGCGGAGATGAGGTTGCGGGGGAAGGAGAGGGACGGCGGAGTGAAGAAGGAGAGGGCGGTGACGGTGGCGGAGTGGTCGTTGAGGGAGCCGATTTCGGAGGTGGTGGAGAGGTCGTAGATTTTGATGGTGTCGTCGGCGCCGCCGGAGGCCGCGGCGGAGCCGGAAACGGCGACTGACCTGATGGGGGAGATGTGGGAGGGGAAGGTGAAGAGTGGGGTTAGGGTTAGGGTTTCTTGGGAGTGTTTTAGGGTTTTGAGCTTGAATCCCCATATGAATCGCTCGTACGAGCCTGCCACCAGACTCATCTTCGCCTCTCTGTCTCTCTCTCTCTCTCTGTATTTATATGAACTCTCTCTATATATATGTGTGTATTGATTCTGTAAAAACCTAGACTGGTGAAGAAAGTGAGGGTTAGGGTTTTAGGCGATTGAGAATGAAGACGACGAAGGTAGAAGAAGGGGACGAGTATTATTGAGTAGCATGGGCCCAATTGGTCAGACGGCCCAAAATTTTAATGGGTTTGCGGCAAGGTCTTGTTTGGTTGTCTATATTTTAGAAGTAAGCATAATTTATGCTTATAAAAAATAAAATTAAACAATAAAAAATACACATATAAATATGTATATCTATAAATTTTATTGTATATTTATGGATGGGTCACGTTGTGTTGGTGGAAATTATTTTAAGTTAAAAATTGATAATTAAAAAGTAAAAATAAAAAATATTTCTTATTTAGGTTTTATTTAAAAATATGTTATTTTAATAACTTTTTACGAAAAGATTTAGAGAAAAATAGAGAGTGATGTGATAATTTATAATGACTTTTTAACTTTTTTAACTAAAATATATAATTGACAAATGAGACATCAGTTTCTGAAAAATTAGTTTTTTTAACTTGTTTAAGTTATTTCTACTAAATAAATTATAAATAAAAGTTACGTCAAACAATATGACACAAACTCTCTTATTAAAAAAAAAGTTATAAGCTGCTTCTATAAGTCCTAGCAAACACCTCACTATTATATCTTGAAATACAAACCAAACAAACCTTAAAAAATTGGTCCAAACTCAACCTATCTATATAATAAGGAAGCTCAGAATTTTGTCCATGGATGGGACTCTTGTCCCTTTGGTCCAAATTTTAACCATTAGATTGATTTCATCTGAGGGTTGAAAACATCTCACTCTCATCTCTTTCAACACACACTCTCTCAACACACACACACTCTCTCTCACACACATACTCCTCTCCTCTCTTTCTGTTTTCAAATTTTGAACTCTCTCTCTCTCTCTTTCTCTCCATTGGAGCCCATTCCCGTACCTCCCTGTCGAGACCCAACTCTTGCCGTGCTTCCCTGTCTTCATCTTCTCTCTTCCTCCCTCCCTCTCTGCCGTCAACAGGGGAACATCAACAAGGGAGTCATCCCCGGCCAGAGCATCACCTTCACCATCCCCGGTTACCCCTCTCTCTCTCTCTCTCTCTCTCTCTCAAGCCAATATGTATATATATGTATATGTGTATATAGATGTATGTAATGGGTTTGAAATGGGTTTGATTTATGAAATGGGTTTGAAATGGGTTTGATTTATGAAATGGGTTTGAAATGTATTTGTGTGTGAACACACCCTCTGTAAACACACCCTCTGTGTTTGTGTGTATTTGTGGGTTTGAAATAAACACACACCCTCTGTCCCCGGCCATATAATTTGCATTTTTGGATGTATATATATATATGTATGTATATATGTATGTATGTAATGGGTTTGAAATGTTTGATGTTGAACATAGTTTAGTTTTGATTTATGAAATGGGTTTGATTATTTAATGGGTTTGATTTATGAAATGGGTTTGATGATTTATGTATGAAATGGGTTTGATTTATGAAATGGGTTTGAAATGTATTTGTGTGTGAACACACCTCGGCCAGAGCATCCCCAAGGCATCTTGCTCGCTGCAGACATGGATGGTCTCTTATGGGTTTGGTTTTGGTAGATGCTTCTGTTTGCTTTCTTTGTTTGATCATTCACCTATTATTTTATTTTATTTATATTTTATATTTTTTTATTTTTAAACTATAGAACATGAATGGTTTATTTATTTATTTTTATTTTTTATAAGTTTGATACATAATAATATTTTGCATAATAGATGCATATATATATATACAATTTTCATAAATAAATCAATTTTCTGAATATATTTAGCCCAAGTATTGATTTAGATAGGAGAAACTAGACTAATTATAAAGATATTATTTTAAATTTTTATCAATGGGTTTAATTTGACTGGTTCGATGGTAATTTTGAAATTTCTTAAAATTTAAGAATGAATTATAATTTAATGTTATCAATGTAAATTTTTCATATTTTTTAATTTTATAATACTTAAAATACATATGTCATTTTGTGATTAGTTCAAAATCTAATTTACATAAATCAAGTTAATTTTTAAAACCTCTTAGTCATGACCAATAATATATTAGTATTATTTACTTAAATTTTTTGATTTCAAATCATGTAATGATATTATTACTATTTTTAATTTCAATGGTTATGGTTATGGTATAAAATTTATATTTATAACATTAGTTTATAAATTAAATTGCAAAGGTTTAACTGCTAGAAAAATTATCATAAATATTATATTATAACAAAAACCAATGATTAAATGACACATGTGTTTTTATAAACTCAAAAAAATTGAAAACATACCACAAGAGTGGGGGATGGGTTTTAGGGTAGGAATGAGACACTGTTTGGCTCACTGGATTGAATTATATTATACCACAAGAGTGATGTGTCTAGTAGAATTTTCCTAAAGTATTTGGTAAAGTTTAATTATTGGATAATTTAATTAATTAAATTATTTTATTGGATAATTTAATTTAGTTTAATTATTAAGCACATAAGTATTTCAAGAATTTTCCTAAAATAATTTAATTATTGGATACTCTAAGCACATTATGTAGTATTATTTATGTAGTAATATAAATTAATGACATAACCAAAAACGCATTTCACAATGAGCGTGTGTGTTTAATTATTGTTTTCTTTTTCTTTTATTCAACTAGGTCTTTCCTTACTGGACTCTGTTGTTTAAAAAATTCAACTTCAGTGTTTCTTTCATTTGTCCTTTTAAATTTGTTTATTAAAAAAAAAAAAATTGTTTAGTACTGATGGTCACAATTGTTGACAAATAGGATTCTATCATTAGAGAATAGAGAGATGAGTTCTTACCAAATTTTGGCATTGTTATAATTTGGCACCAAAAAATAGCACATGAATTGGAAGTGTTGTTGCCAAATTTTGGCTTTCGCATGAAGGGGAAGCATACCATTAGAGTTGCTTTGCCATGTCATTTTAATCTTTAAAGCTGCTTTGCCACGTTCCAATATGTATTTTATTTATTTATTGTGGGGTATAGGTTATTTGAAAAAATGGAAGTCATTGCCGCCACCGTTGATAGTAATAAACAGAATTGACATTTTTTTTGTGGTGTTTCTTTTGATAAATATGTATGAATGTGCACTAAATCTGAGCATGTTAATGAATAGATTTAAGCATCCATTTTATGAAGTTTTTGTTGGAAATGGTTATAAAATTCTGGATAAAACTAGAATTTTTTCCTAAGTTCGATCTATTTTTTAGGTGGGCCCCGAGTGTCGATTTACTCGGGTCAAAGTGGTAACGCGTTCTATGCCGCGTTGTGATTCACGTGGTATATTTGGTTGCTCAAAACCATTACCGAGTGAATGGGAAATTGAAGCCAAAGTGTGCTCCATGAAAATGGAGTTTTGGTGGAAATTCCTTAAGGTGGTAAATTGGCTTGTCCCACATTGATTTGGTGGGAGGTTTTGAAAGGGTTTATAAGGCTATATGATTATTGGCCTTAATTGGTTATATATGATTATTGGCCAAAACTTTTATGGCCTTAATTGGTTCCATATTAGTCCACATGACATTTAGTTATATATGATTAGGGACTTGCATTCTTATAATTTTTTACTTACACCTCATAACAGAATCACTTATATCTATATATATGATTCCAAACCCCAAACCCCCTATTTATGTATGATTCCAGTATGTATATATAATATTGAGAAGCTATGTCTAAGAAAGTCATGTCTAACAAAACCTGTGCCAATTAATTAACAAACTGAAGTGGGTTTCTGCTTTCTAGGCAACCAAACAAAGGGCTATTTTTTTTTTCTTAATAAAAAAAAAATGAAAAATTGGAAGAAGAAAATAAACATACCTTCCTCTGCCTCTTAGGGCATATCTTTTTGTGTTGAATGGGTTTATTTTTTGTATTAATTTTTTACTTTTAACCAATATAGATAGGAGTTAAATTATTCTTTGTTTTTTTTTTTTTCTTTTCTCCTTGAATGACACTTATGTTTGATTAGCAGTTATTAACCTGTTAATCAAACAAGGCCTTAGTTTGAGTTTAATTTATTGCATAAAACACATGTTTATTAGTTTGTATAGCATTTTGATAACATTCGAATTTATTAGTTTGTAACATTCGATAACATTTGAATTTTATTAGTTTGTAAAATTAATCTATTTGGACTTAAATTAATCTATTATTAGTTTGAATTTTATTAATTTTATTAGGAGTTAAATTAATTTTACAGATGTGGTAAGTATGGAAATCTAAACCACATTTCGTATATTTAGGGCGTTTTTTTTTTTTTAATAAACAAAATGAAAAATTGGAAGAAGAAAATAAACATACCTTCCTCTGCCTCTTAGGGCATGTTTTTTGTGTTGAATGTGTTTATTTTTTGTATTAGTTTTTGACTTTTTATCTAATGTTTCAAATTTAACCAATATAGATAGGAGTTAAATTAATCTTTGTTTTTTTTTTTTCTTTTCTCCTTGAATGACATTTAGGGCATGATTGATTGGTAGTATTAGTGGTACTATTTTATTAACCTGTTAATCAAACAAGGCCTTTTTTTGAGTTTTATTTATTGCATAAAACACATGTTTACTAGTTTGTATAGCATTTTGATAACATTCGAATTTATTAGTTTGTAACATTTGATAACATTTGAATTTTATTAGTTTGTAAAATTAATCTATTTGGACTTAAATTAATCTATTATTAGTTTGAATTTTATTAATTTTACAAAGAGTTAAATTTTATTAATTTTATTAGTTTGTGGTAAGTATGGAAATCTAAACCACATTTTGTATTTTTCTATTTCAATGAAAAGGCCCTTATAGAATTCATGAGTTAATTTTTTAAATTCATACTGTGGTATCGTACTGTTTGATTTCTTAAATTCATACTTTGATTTGAATTTGTGGTATTATATACTGTTCAAGCTTTAATAAATCCGAAATTTTTTTGTCAAACAGTTTTTGGGGATTAATCAATAAATCGGACAGTTTTTTGCCAATAAAGGGTTGTTTTTTGCCGATAATGGCCTCCATATGTG